TTAATATTTTCCCAAACACGAGGTCCTATTACCGCCGTTTTACAGAGGAGTAGCTGGGACTGAGGGAGTTAGAGAGGCTGAGTAACGCTCAAGATTATGGAAAATCCGTGGCAGAGCCTGGATTGAAGAGAGTCTGATTCTAATCCAGTGCTTCTCAAACTTGAGTGGTACCAGCATTGCCTGGAGGCGTGTTAAACACAGATTGCTGGGTCAGCCCCATCACCTCAGAGTTTGGGATTCAATAAGTCTCGGGTGGTGCTCAAGTATTTACATTTCTGACAAATTCCCAGATGCTGCTGCTGCTGCTGCTGGACCTAAAACCATACTTGGCGAACCCACTGCTCCAGCGCACACATTCTTGACCGCCTTGCCCTGCTACCCCTATCTAGTCAACTAAAAAAAAGGGCAGAGTTACTTTGAGCAGTGGGCAGCCATCTTGGGGTGTAAAATACTGATGCCTGGGCCTCATCCCCAGATATTCTGACTCAGATGGCTTGGCCTTGCTCCCAGGCGTGTGTCCTTTACAAGTTCCCCCAGGTGGTTCCAATGTACAGTGAGGCTTCGCATTGGAAACCACTGGTTTGGGCAGCGTGTAGCAAACTTTAATGGGTATATGAATCAACTAGTGATCTTGATAAAATGCAGATTCGCATTTCGCACAAACACCCAGGAGATACCCAGGCTGCTGGACTTCAGCCCAAACTTTGAGTAGCGAGGACTAGGATTTTCCAAACGCTAGGGTTGCCAGATAAAATACAGTTCAATTTGAATTTTTGATAAACAGCGAATAACTATTTTTTTAGTATGAGTATGCCCCCAAATATTGCTTGGGACATACTTATATTACAAATTATTCATTGCTTATTTGAAATTCACTTGAAGTGGACATTCTTGTTTTGGTTTTTGCTAAATCTAGCAACCCTACCTGAAGATAAGAATCATCTCAATTGCTTGTTTCAACACACACACATAGTCACACACACACTCATGGATTCCTGGTCCTAATCCAGTCCTGCTGAATCATAATTTCTAGGGCCTGGTAATCTCCATAGTTAACAAGCACTGCCAGGTAATCCTTATCAGCTCGGTTTGGGAAGTACATAAAACCCTGGATTATGACTGCTTGTAATCCTCACGTCACTCCCACGGACACATTAGGAGTTTGTAGTTTGTCCTGAGTCTCGCCAGCAAGTCGAGGGTGCTTCTTTTCACATTTTACACTCAGTGGTAGTAGTATTCAGTCCTGCTACTAAGATGAAGGCAAATCTTGAAGTTTCTGGGCTATGATGTTTTAGCCCCAGGGAGAAGCTGTTCTCTTTGATACTCTCAGCGAATCTGGGTGTTCATTTATTTGAGGGACTGGAATAGGGTTTGCAGAAAAAATACAGGATGCCCAGCTAAATTTGAATTTCAGATAAATGATGCATAAAATTTTTAGTATAAGTATTCACCAAATGTTATTTGTGATATACTTATGCTTAAAAAAATGTTGTTTATGTGAAATTCACATTTAACTGGGTGTCCTGTGTTTGTAGTTGCTAAATCTGGCCATCCTAGGCTGGAGGACGTCCTTCCACATGATCTCAGCGGGCCCACCTGCATACCGTCCTCGGCCATGCTGGCCCCTGAGCAGAACTGCAGGGCTCCTCCTTCTAGGGGAGTCTTTGGGCTCCACACAAGTGGTCAAGAGGAGCTTTGAGGCTAATGGGTCCTTGGACAAGAAAAGTAAGACCTCATTCAAAGAGGCGGAATTTAAAAAGCCCTCAGCCCCTGGGAAGGGTGCCCAGGAACTCAGAGGAGACTCTTTCTGAATTGGGGGAAAATAAAGGGCATGCCTCTCACCCTGGGACACAAGATCAGCATTACTGCCAAAGCTGAGGAGTTCTGCACAGAACTGTGTCCTCGTAACAGCACCTGGTCTGTCCTGAGGAGCCGGGTATAGTTTCTGCGTCAGACAGGGCTCTGAAGCGCAGCAGCCAGAGAACTCTCCTTTTATCTGCACAGCCCTGCTGCTGCTCCACAAGGGGCCATCTCTTTGCACCAAGGGTAGAAGAAACTGTGTCTTTCAGCTGTGATGGGGTGAGGGGCCTTTGGGAGTCGTGGAGAGTTTGGTGCAGCCACAGAAATGGGAGCCAGGAAAGGAGGTCCCTGCGGCATCTTCCCAGTACACAGACGTAAACCAGCTTCCGAGGCTGGATATTGTCGGGGCTGGTCTTCTAGTCATCACACTGTGTAGAAGCGGGAGCCAAATCCCTCCAGAATTATGACTTTCATCCTTGATTTTCCTCAAGATGGTTATGGTTAGATATTTACAAAGGCTATTATTTTTTTTTTCTACTTGCACTTTTAATTTCCAAGTTCTACTGATGCCTTTGTGACCCATGTATTTTATGTCAACACATTAACAGACAGACATATAGTCATGTCTGATTTTAATTACTCAATTATTTGTTTTATTTCAGCTGGTGTCCCTTGACCTGAATTAACGCATTTGGTGTTTGTGGATTTTTCCCATATTAGCTGTTCATTTGGTGTTTTATGACAAAAGGCTTTGCTTGAAAACATCTTGCTGAACTGATGTTTGCTGCTTCCTGAACATACTGTACAGGACTGAATGTCCTTTATAATAAAATTGAAGCTTCCTCCAGCTCACTATTATAATATAGTATTTTACATATAAGTTATATTAGGAAGCCTCTGTCTTTCTTTGAGTGATTTAGACTTCGGGGCGGGGGGGGGGGGGGGGAAGAAGGAAAGAAAAGAGAAGAGAAAAGAAAGACGGTTTATTTGTTTTTAATAAATGAGCACCTCTGGGAAAGGTTAACATTCTGATACAGGATATAATTTAGCAATCCAGATTAAATTGTTGCCTTCTGTACATGGACTCCCTTTCACTTACAAGAATATTCTTTGTGGCACCTCTTACTGTACTGTTGCTTTTGCAAAACTTTTTCACAGCAGGGCATACTGTCTTCGTACCTCCAAGGGCCTGTGTTCCTGCACGCACCTTAGAAAGCATTTCAAATGCCTTCTCTGCGAGTGGAGAGAAATGGCCCGTCTTTCTGTAATACCTCAGGGTGGCAAATTCATGTGTTTTCGCACTGCAGGGAAGCAGCACATTTTTAAAAAACCGCCACAGGAAATTGCCACTGCTGACTTTTGCACGAAGAAGAGGAACAAAAACTGGTGCATGTCTTTTCTTTTAATAGTCGCCGGGCAAGAAATAATCCTGCGGCGGCATTCTAAATTTGCAAGACCTGTGTTAAGTTTGTGAACTCTTTTGCTCTCCACACTTTATGAAGGATGTGGGAAAACTGAAAGGAAGTTAAAGAAAAGTAACGGAGGTGGTTAAAATTATGCAAAATCGTTCCTCTCCAGAAAATTTGCAGGAAATGGGCTTATTTCACTGGGTTATGGTTAGATGTATGAGTTGGGTGAGGGGTGAGTTACCCAGCGTCCTGCGGAATTAAAAGTCTCTCCTCTTCCAGAAAGGTCTACACCCCTGATTTGGATGTTTTCTGCGGGAGGGCAACAGTTCTGCGTGAGAGCTGCCACATGTGGTTGTGCGAGTTGGGCATGTTATGCTTGGTGCAAGGAGTGGGGGGGCGGAGGGGGGTGGGCTTCTTTCTAATTATAAAGGGCTCCCAGGTACACTATTGAGACACTGATTGTGAGGCCCTGGAAGTGTCACCACTGCTTTTCCCACGCACTTTGGTACCAGTCTGCAATTTGGAACCACTGAGAGGATCTTACAGATTATCCAGATTGAGTAACCTCACCTGGAGTAAAAGGACCAAATGACAAGGGATATTGGTTGGTCCTAAAACGGCATTGCTTATCACCTTTCCTTTCATGGTTAAGCTGTGAAAGAGTCTGCAGCATTCATGAGAGATCGGTGGGATTTCTGTGGGTCCTGAGAGGAGTGGCCAGGACTCAGTGATGCTCCAGAGAGTGGGCTCAGGCCTCTGGTTAGGGATTGTGACTGTGCAGTGCTGCCCATCGCAACTGCTTGTCACATGGACTCACTTCCTCTTTCCTCTTGCTCTCAGAAGGGCACGCTTCTAGAAGAGTCTCCTTCACCTATCCTTGCATTTTGCTGATAAGTGGACTTTAAGTTGTGGACTGGAAATTGTAAAAGTTAATGTGTGGATTTTCACTGCAAATTAAATTGAGAGTTTGTCTAAGGTCTTATGACTCATCTCGACTGGAGTATGGTTAATATGAGTGGAAACTTTGTGTTTTGATCAAAAGGAGTCCAGGAAACTGAGGCTTGGGGTTATTTGTTTAAGAGCCATAAAAACTATTAATTTATTTTCACATGTATTTATATTGTGGTGTGATATCTATGTACGTGCAAAACTATCCTAATGTCTGATCTCAAGAATACCTAGTGTAATCGAAAGTATACAAAACTTTTGTTCAAAATTGGCTTGTGTGTCCTCAGGAAAGTTACTTAGTCTTTCTGAGCCATTCGTTGTTTCTCATCTGTAAGATAGAATAAGTACACTTACCTCATAGGGCGTCTGTGGAAATGTAAGCAAGATACTATAAAGAAATGCCTAGCATGATACTTGACACAAAAATATTCTTTCGAGGGGCCGGCCTGGTGGCGTAGTGGTTAAATTTGGTGCTCTGCTTCAGCAGCCCAGGGTTTGCAGGTTCGGATCCCAGGCATGGACCTACACACTTCATCAAGGCGCATTTTGGCAGCATCCCACATAAAGTAGAGGAAGATTGGCACAGATGTTAGCTCAGTGACAATCTTACTCAAGCAAAAAGAGGAAGATTGGCAATGTATGTTAGCTCAGGACTAATCTTCCTCATACAAAAAAATCCAAAAAACAACCAAAAAAACCAGAATTCTTTCCAATTGTTCATTTGATCAGCTGAGGATACAACTCACAATTGAGAGGAGCAAGTCCCATGACCCCCTGGAGTTTGTCTCTGAAGAAACGTCCAGGTATCAGGTGTGATGATGCTTTTCTCTTGTTTTTTTCCAGCCACAGGGCAAAGTCTTCAGGCTGGCCGCCTCCCTCGGGAACCTGGGGCTTGAACCAGGTGCCGCCCTATGGATGGGAGATGACTGCAAACCGGGATGGCCGAGATTGCTTCATCAAGTAGGTTGAACAGACGGCATGAACAGTGAAAGCTTTGGTTTTTTGGGCATCTCTGTTTTGACCCTTGACTCGGGAGAATTAACATACTTAAATTAGGAAGTCAGAGGCATTTAGAGGCCATATCTCAAGTAGCTTGATCTCATGTGCTTTCTATATCTTGTGACATGAAGGTGCTTTGTGCTTGGGCACGTGCCATTTTAGAGTGACGCTTCACTACGTAGCATGATAATCCCAGCCCAGAGCAAAAGTTTTCATTATTAAGTCCAAGGCCAGTTGTACTCATTATCTGAGGCTAGTAACTAAAGTTTGACATGGAGGAGTATCATTTAGAAAACTTTCTAGAAGTGGTTAAGACAGGAATGTTCCTGGCTCATCTCTTACTAGAAAAATCAGCTAAAAGGATTATGCATTATGGGTCGTATCATAAATTTCTCCCACTGACATTGGCTAAGGTTTTGGATTTTTGTGGTGCTCTCTTCTTTTGTTAAATTGTAGTAAAATATATATTATATCATGGTTATGTTAAATACGTTCTATACATATAATGGTTATGTTATTGATAACATAATGGTAAATTTTACTTACCATTTTAACCATTTTTAGGTATATGATTTGGTGACATTAAGTACATTCAAAATCACACTATCCATTTCTAGAACTTTTTCATCATCCCAAATTGAAACTCTGTACTCATTAAACAATAACTCCCCATTCCCTCTTCCCCAACCCCTAGAAACCTCTATTCTACTTTCTCTATGAATCTGCCTATTCTAGATACCACACATAAGTGAAATTATATAGTATTTGTCCTTTTCTATCTGGCTTATTTCACTTAGCATAATGTCCTCAAGGTTCATCCATGTTGCAGCATATCTGAGAATTTCATTCCTTTTAAGGCTGGATAATATTCCATTGTTCGACTAGACCACATTTGTTTATCTGTTCATCTGTCAATGGACGTTTGGCTTGTTTCCAGCTTATGGCTCTTGTAAATAATGCTGCCGTGAGCATTGGTGCACAAATATCTGAGTTCCTACTTGCAATTCGTTTGGGTATATACCTAGGAGTGGAATTGCTGGATCACGTGGTAATTCTGTGTTTACCTTTTTCACGGAGGCTACAGTGCTCTGGTTTTTGCAGTTGTATGAGAAAAGTCTCTACATTGCACTTCTCAAAACAGCAAAGATCCACCCTGCTTTCTTCTTCAACCTAAGTGAAATATTCTTAATTATGAGAAATTAGTGAAATAGATCTGAGATCAGGAGTCATGGTTGGCCCTAGCCTAATACAATTGAGCAGAGACTGAAGACCAAGAGGAGGAAATCTTTCATACCACAGGCTGCATTCTTTGTTCCAGCCAAGCTGACTGTGGACTGGTTAGCAAGTATAGGATCACCACGAGGTGGCGGATCATTTTTACAAAAACAAAAATATCTGCCAAGATTGGATTTGAGGGATTTGGTCTTTGGATAGCCCGGCACCTCCAAGTTAAGATTATTGGGAAGTAGCCAGGGGAAAACTCACATGAGTGTTGTGGTCAGTTTTGCAGTCCCTGCAGCCCAAATCTTTCACCTTCCTAGAATTATTGCCGAGGGGAGGGGCCCCTCTTCAGAGTACAGCTTGTTGCTGAGGAGCTTGCCTCCTGGGTCCATCTTGGGAAGATTCAAGTTGCCCTTGAACATGACCCAGTCCGGGGAGCCTGTGGGCAGTGGCCCTCTGGCTCATAAAGGCTTTCCTGAGGATGTTCTCACAGAGAAACTAGTAGAAACGGCAGTGGGAACAGAATCTCCGGAAAGCTCAAAGACTGGAAGAAAGGTCAACAGTTTTGCTTATACTCTAGATTCTGAACCTTTAATTTCATACAGTTTGCTCATCTCTTATACTGCTAGAAAGATGATATTTTTTGATATCGTGCCATCTATTTTCTAACACGGTTATGACTTTATGTAATTGGCTCAATTGAGGTGGCCTAGATGCTTTGACTCAAAACAATAAACCTTTCTGCCAAAGAAATGTAATTTTTAAAAGACATGGATTGTGAATTTATGAAGGTCTATCTCAGACTTCTTTGATTAAAATGGATTTTTCTTTTTCCCTGGTTAGATTTGCGTTCCTATACCTTCCAGGTCATTTGATCAATAGATAGAATCCCAAACCGAGGCCTATTGGTTGGAGATTCTGGGAACCCCAGCTAGCTGTACCTACATGCATTCCCATTGGTGTCATTGACATTTTTGAGGGCCAGCCCAGGTGTCAATTTAACATTTACATTGGCCTAATGCCAGCTGTTAAAACATGTAAGAGCCAATCAGCAACTTAATAGAGAAACCTGGACTGACTGCTAAATAGCAAGTTTTAAAACCAAAGTCTCCGGTGTCACTTTTCCAAATCTACGGGGATTTTTTACTTGAAAAATAAGTTTCCACAGTCCTCTCAGAGACACTGTTTTAAGATGTCAAGAACTGTACTTTGAAAAGTGTTTGTTCTTCCTTTGTCACTAATGAGTTTTATAAGTAATGAGAATCATTGTGATTTTTTTTTTTCTTTCCTGCTGAGTAATGTCCATTACAAAGCGATACTCTAATTACCAGTTTCCCGGAGCCCGTGTTTGCAGTATGGAGTATAACTGTACTCATTACTTTTAGAAGTTAAAAGAACAATTTGAAAATTAATGTGTAGTTAGTAATTAGCACCTTTGCATTTAATTTTTTACTCTTTGACATATTCTCTTTGAAACAGATTAGATATCTTCTTTTTTTAAATCTTGTCTTAGGATCTAAAGGATAACCCACATCAGGCAATTGTGATGAAAGTGCAACTACTTCCGAGCGAGGGACAAACTATGGGAGGAACCAGGCTTCACGTATTCAAAGTTAGAGTCTAATAGCTAAATGATGAGATAACTCTATCATTATGAGTCTTTCAGAACACGGCCCAGGGTAATTCAAAATGTGTTCAAATTTCATCTTCCCTCTCCCATCCCCAATTATTTAGGGTGGGACTGGATAACCTGTTTTCTATAAAGAGTTACTAATCCTTAGGGTTAAAAAAAATTGAAAATGCCATTACACACATGTTAATGTACATTTGTATAATATCGTATACTCTGCAGACTAATGGGTCCAACTTTGGCTGTGCATTGGAATCGTCTGAAGAGCAGTAAAAAATCCTGATGCCTGGGTGTCGTAGTCTGTTTGGGCTGCTATAATAAAATACCATAAACTGGGTGGCTTAAACATAGAAAATTATTTCTCATCGTTCTAGAGGCTGAGAATTCCAAGATCAAGGTGCTAGTATAGCCAGGTTCTTGGTGAGGACCTTCTTCCTGACTTGCAGACAGCTGCCTTCTTGCTGTGTCCTCACATGACACAGACAGAGAGATCATCTCTCTCTGTCTCTTCTTATAAGGGCACTAATCTCATCATGGGGGCTCCACCGTCATGACCTGATTACCTCCCAAAGGCCCCACCCTCCAAATACGGCCACCTTGGGGCTAGGGCTTCAACATATGAATTTTGGAGGAACACAGACATTCAGACCCTAGCATTGGATCTGGGGTAAAGCCTAGGAGGTGGGAGTTTCAAAGCTCCTCTGGTGATTCTGATGAACAGCTATGGCTGCTGCTCTAAAGCACCGTTCTACACATGACCTCTTTTAATAAGGAATAATCATCCCATTTTCCAGATGATAAATAAAACTGAGACTCAGACTAATCAAATGGCTTTCCCAAAGTTTACACAGACGTACCAAGTCACAAGCCATTGCTTGCTCAAATGTACCAGATTCCCCATTAAGGAAGGACAACTTTTGTTGGTATTCTTAGAAAAATATGAAATACATTTTTTTGAGGAACAGAAAACATTGTTTAAGAAACATAACAGATGCAAAATTAAAATTTCTCAGTTCCTTATTGTTACCAGTTAAGAGAGAGAGTAGAGTAGGGGAAGTAAGAGAGAAATATGGGAAGAGAGAAACTATGAGGAATGGAAAGACTCTTAGGAGAGAGAGTGTTTGGTGAGAAATGGATAAGAGAGGACAAGATGGATGGAAAGGGAAATGAAGAGAAAGTGAGGTACTCTGAGATGATTGTTATAATAACAGAGTCAGTAACTAATAGGTGTAGGTGTGGATACAGGTGGATATTGATATAGTTGTAGATATGAATATATGTATGTGTAGATGTAGCTGTAGATAGATATAGGTATACAGATATCATTGTAGATATAGATATAAATGGATATAGGATATAGAAATAGATATAGACATAGATGAGTGACCATATCATAATTCTGACATAATTACTGATAGTACCTCCTTTTGCTCTCAAAGTGTTGTAATTTGGTAATAGAAGATAGCTCTGTTTATGTATCACACTACCAAAGTTTAGAAAATTCTTGCAAGAAATAAGATTATATTTAATCTTAACAAGTGTCCTCTGACATAGTTCAGGCACATAGAAGAACCTCCTTTTTACAGAACAAGCTGAATATTCCAGGGATTGGTATCTCCACATCCTATGGCTAGTCATACCAGTGTAGACTCTAAGGCCTCGGTTCCTTGGGCTCTGTCATGGAATTTAATCCACACTAAGCCCGTTATATTCTATAGCTTTGTCCCCTAGCCCTAGGATTACCTAGCCTTATCAATGTATGCTCAGCTCAGCTCACCTCCATCTGTTCTTGCCATACCCTCCCCACTCAGCATGCTTAGATCTGGGCCTGATCAACCTGGGTATCTAGGTCCTTCCTTCAGAACCTCTCCTTGGCCACACTCAAGATCCATCCACCCAACATTTATTGAGCGCCACTAAATGCTGAAAATACCAAGATGAATAAGACAAGTTCTTACCTTCAAGGATCTTAGAATGTGCTGGAAATGATAAATAAAATAATGGAATATGTTTTAGATACAGTGGAGGCCCCCAAGGAGGAATTAATCTAATCTGCTGGAAGTAGGGGTGAGGGCTGGACAAGGAGGCAGGCCGTTGCCATGGGCCTCAT